AGATGAGGAAGATCCCCTTGTTATGCATCTTAATAAGATGCTCAGTTAGCCCCCATCAGCTCATGGACATGTTGATGGGCACGGTGGGCTCAACTGGTCACTAAACAGCAATAAAAGGCCAAAGGGAGCTGATAGCCTCCATGTGGAATGGCTGTGGGTTTCATGAGTAGCTGTTCACCTCTGAGCTGGGAGAAAAATGACTTTCAGCATCTATTTCCACCAACCCAGGAGCTCCCAACTTCTCGGTTGCTGTTAGGTAAGAGTTAAACACGTGCTGGCTCCTTTTGTTGAGCGTTCTACTGCAGTCAGCTCAAGCTTCCTCTTGTCTTCTGCCTGTTGTCTGTATTTACAGGCAGTGCCTTTGTTTCCAGCAGTTCTAGAGCCCTGATTCCAAGCCCTGCTTTAAGGAGATAAAGGCCAAGGAGGAGGCAGCGAGCTGAGTGCTGTGTTTTTAACTTTGTGTCCCACTTTTGTTCATGGCTCCCTATAGCCAGAGCTTTTTCTCGCATGCTGCAAGTGTTTATTGAAAGGGTAGACTCACAGTCATCAAATAGCAGATAGTGAATAATGAGTTAGGCTCGCACACAGAAATCCAAACGGGTTTGTTTAAAGTGGTGTTTGGTATGCAAATAAAATTAGCAATCCAAATGAGGCTGCTTCTCTCCCCAGAGTGTTTGCTCAGCCTCTCCCCAGTGTTGGCTTCCAATTGCAGGGATCCAGGTAATGGTTTAACACAGCCCATTAAGTGATTTGCCTTCAGACACCGAGATTAAAGGGGAACCTTTCTCCATATCAGACCCTTTGGTCCCTCCAGACCCACCCTGTGTGCCCTGCTGGCCCCGGGGGCACAGTAACCTGAATTTAGGAGTAGTTTTGATCCTGTGTGCTACCTGGTTTGGGGAAAAAAAACACCGTTGTCTTGAAAAAGGCAAACAGTTTGGTAGAAGTGCGTTATTTCTTAAGGAACTTGTGCTTGAATCTACTTGAGTTGAGCGAAACAATCATATCATGCACTTGGAGTTTCTGTAGTGTAAAAGTCCTGAACTTTGCTCCCGAATCAGTTTGGATTGCAGCCGTTGTGCCAAGAGGTGCTCGTTAAATTTACAGCCCTGGCAGCTCACCCCACCCACCTGAAATAAACTGACAAAGGGAAAAGAAAAGTGCTTCTCCCAGCAGAGCTCCTGAAGGGGGCATGGAGCATTAATGGCACCGGGCATCCAAACAGCATCCTGCAGGGAGCCTGGGGCTGCTCCTGGCTTCTGAAATGCCCGTGTGCCCTACCGAGAGCAGTGCTTGGTGTTGGTTGGGCTTTCCCCGTGCTGATGGTTGCTAGGAGCTGTTTTTAACGAACTGAACTTTTTTTTTATTGCTCCATGATGAGTCACCGAGTATTTAGCAGAGTTCAAGCTGTTTTTCCAGTTAAATGTTTTGATTCACGCAAAATGTTGGGGTAATTAACGCTTTTTCTTTGCCTTTTCTCAGCTGCCTTTTAGAAATCCCTGTTTTACTTTCACTTGCTTTTAAAATCCTTAATTACAAGGAGGGGAAAGGAGATGCAGAACTTTCTTTTAAGCACACGCATTGCCATGGCAGTACGTTAAACATTAATGTTGGTAAGTTAAAGCCAAATGAGACGCCTGAATACTTGGAGTCTACAACAAAGTCTCTTGGTTCTTTCCTCCTGCCGTTGTCTGAACAAGTTATTTGCTGTGTGTGTCTGAGTTTTCCCGATGTAGCATGCAGGTAATACTCGGCAGTTTGATTGCAATGTGTGCAGTGTGTTGGCCTGGTGAGATGAAGGGCATTCTGTATGGCCTTGTGACAGCAAGCACAGCCTGCTCTTGAGCCCTTCTTCACGGTGATGAGCAGCACGAGGAAGCATCACCAATGCATATGCATTGGTGGGAGGGAAGCACAATTCAGTATTGTTTCCAAATAAGCCTTTTATTAAACGTAGAGTTTAAAAACACAACGTAACTTCTAAGGCATTGAAAGAGCAAGTTCAGTAGCACGTAGGATATGCGCCTGCATTTATGTGATAGCAGCCAGTGAAACTTTTATTCCTACTTCTGTGCAGAAAATCTTGGAGTGTTTATCCACACGTGTGGATTCTAATGATAAAAAACTCATCATTGTGGTTACAGTAATTAGTAACATAACTATGTGAACAGAGCATTAAGGACTGTAGCTGTGTCTTCGTTCTCTTTGAGAACGTGTTGTCCATAGTCACCCTTTGAAACCACCTAACCAGGACATTGTGTTGTTTGGTTTTTGTTATTGCCAACTTACCAAGAACCCATTTTGTGAAGAGGGAGGTAGTTCTTGTTTTCAGTTCTTTTAAAGATACCCAGCCAAGGGCAGTGCTGCTGAAATTGGGCTTGTTTCATTTCAAGGAAAATGCCTGAACTCCAAAAGGATGCTTGAGCACCAGAGAGAAACAGAAATGGGATCCTCGATAAGAAACTCCAACTCCTCTGAAATGTAGAGGTGTTGGATGAGGAGTGCACGCAGAGGAAAGGAAAACAAAGAGTCCAGCAGCTGCAGATCAGGAATAGCACTGCAAGTGTATAAAATTGTCTTGAGGAGACGCTGCGATATATCAAAGGAAGCAACAAGTTCCTGTGAAAGAGCTGTGCTGTGGAGAGGGCTATCACTCGTACCCTGCAAAATGAGACTTGCCAGCATGAGTCACGGTAAGCAGGACAGAGATACCATCTGCACTGTCTGAGCAGTTTGGGGTAAGGAGATTTCCTAATGGCAAATTCCTGACCATTGAGTGAGACTGGGCTGACTGAGAGAGCTGTGCCATCCTCGTTGTCGTGCCTCAGAGTGCTGCTCAGGTGAGGCTGGGAGTGCATCCTGCTGTGCTGCTCTGAAATGCTGCTGCTGGCATGGCTTATGGCTGCTCTCACTGGGGGCAGAGCGAATTTTGGCTGGAGGAGAACCAGAGCACCCTTCAGGAAGCTCACCTTATAGCTTAACTGCATCCCAAACAGAAGATGTGCTGAACTGAGGGCTTTGCAGACCCCTTTTTTAACGGCACTTTTAGGAAGCACTTTTCTATCGGCATAAAAATTAAGTAACCCTTATCTGAAGTAGCACGATGGACTGATCTGTCATGGAGTTTTGCTCATTTAACAAATGATTTCCTAACAGAAGCAGCCGCTTAAACAGAGAGTGAAGTCAAATGGCAAAACGGCCTGAAGTCACCCAGAGAAATGTCTGAAGCACCTCCTGGTGTTTTCTGTGCTGAGTCTGGGAGCGCTCAGCCCAGCTGTGCTCACTGTGTCCTCAAGCAATGCTCTCACAGGTTGTCCTTCCTGGAGAACGGCTTTTCTCAGTGCTCCAGGGTTGGTGCAGCTCTGCCCATCGCCTTTCAGAGAGACCTGATAACGGGTCCAAAAGTCACCAACGTACAGTTAGCTGTACAGGAGCCTGCCCTGCCTGCCTGCCCGCCCTGCCTGCGTGCTGACTGCATGCTCTTTGACTTTCCTCCTCTCCCTGCACGTTGTTACAGCTCACCTCGGCTGTGAGCAGAAGCAGTGCGTGTGGGTGAGCCTCCAGCCCAGGCACCAAACCTCCTTGGTTCTTCTGACCAAAGCAAGCTTTTCTCTCCGTGTTTCTCTCAAGGCGAAGACTTTTGCCGATGCGATTGACGGCATTACCAGACAGTATTAGACAGAAATAGCTAGATCTAACTTTGCCTGGTAAGACAGCAATCAGCAGGCGCTCAAGCTAAAGGAAACCAACGTGAGAGCACTTCTTCCAGCTCCAGGGCTAAAGTGATGGGGCGGGGAAAGGCTGAGGGCCTCTCCCGTAGACACATCAGTAACCAGTAAATATTTAACTTGAAGTACAGGCAGTACAATCGTGAGAACACAACTGTTTGCAGTTCTCTGGCATGAGAACTAAAAAATACTGTACAGTACTTGCTGAACTTACCGCCGGCTGCATCCTCCGCATCCAGTTGCTGTGAGGCGCTCACCATCCCCGTGTCCTGCAGCTCTGTCACCCAGCAGGGATGCAGATGTGGTTCAGCTGCACCCCACAGCTGTGCTCTCATCGATATTAAACCCCCAGACGGAGTTCAGCCTAATGCAGGCCGGGTCTTAGCTCTTCCACTACAGTGAGCATCAGTGCTGCCCATGGAATCGCCCTGCTGTGGAACTGAGCTAAGCAAACTGAATGTTGGTGGGAGATGGGGAGGGAGGGGAAGATATTGAGGCCGAGGGGATTTCGCTGGGTTGCTCCTGACTCCCATGACTCACTGTTCTTGCCTAGATAAGGCTGAGCGGACGCTTTCCTAAGCATAAATCAGCCTGGGGGAGGGCAAGGGAATTTCCTTGGTTCCATTCCTTTTTTATTAACTTAAGGTGACATCCCTGTGCATGCCAGGGATGCCCAATTATTGTTATAATCTTTTTTTTTTAATCCATCCAAGGTTAGCATCCATATTGAGTTTTAAGAAGAGAAGATGGATGGGAGTTGGGTGCGTGTTCCAATTCATCTTATTTAAATGCTTGTTAAAAGCTAATTTGCAGAACCACTCAAATTTCACACCATTTCCTCAATCCCTTGTGAGCCAGTTAATAAGTCACACAGAGGCTAATCACCAAAGAATGCTCCTCTGCTCCCTCCTGCTCTCGTTTTCCTGAGAACTGCAACGTGCAAAGGCAAGAGCAGCTCTGTGGGAGCTGCCTTTGGTTTGTTTTTCTGCTGTTCCTGTATTACATGGCAGTTTTTGTATGGCATTGCACTGGACAGGGTTGGAAAGGCACGGAAAGGAAAGGTTGGGGAGTTTTTCACTTGCGTGCCTCTGGGCTGCTGTACCTGTTTTATCCAGGAGGGAGGGAGGAGATTAGCACTAAGCTGAGGATGAGGAAAAGGTTTCAGTGCTGTGATTCCAGCATAGAGCAGTCCTGTGAGCCTAGGTAAAGCACTGGGGGGAGAAGCACGGTCCAAGCTTGTGTGTGATGTTGCCCTATGTTTCTTACAGGAGGGAGCTGAAAACCAGTGGGTGCAATTCTGAAAAACCAGCATGAGGTCTGTGCACTGTCCCACAGCAGAGCAGGTCCCCAGGAACCCCAGCATTTGAGAGGCACCAACCATCCTTGTGAAAAGGTGAGTGTCGGCTCACAGAGTGCCCTGTTAATGAGGCCCGATGTGAATTCTTATTCTCTGAAGGTCGACCATGCTCCAATTTTCATCCAGATTTGAATTATATCAAAGTTACTGGTTTGTTAACTCTATTGCTCTAGATAATCCTCTTCCAAAGGAAATCAGTGCTTTAAATGTGGAAGGATCATATGGGATATGATCCTGAAGTCTGGGCAGCTCCAGACTTTAGACTCACCTTCTCTCTGTGTTGAGTGCAGACTGAATTTCATTTTTGAGTGTCCCCAGTCATACTGGTACAACTAAGGGTGTCAAGGCAGGACCCAAGCAGAGATACGAGGCTGCACATCAGCACGTGTTCTTGCAGTGCCATTAACTCACATTTGCTGTGACATGTGTTCATGTCCCTCTGCTTGGTTAGGTAGAGCAGGGTAAGCATTCAGTTCCTTGCCTGGGTTAAATTGCTTTGTTTCTTAATGGGATGATTAGAGTGATTAACCCACCTGCTCCATATGCTGCCAGCGCTGCCTGTATGGGGGCAGGTTAGAAGGTTGAAAGTTCACAGGCTATTCAGCCGTGGAAGTAATTGAACTGTAATTGGGAAGAACGACCTTTACCACCAGCGTCCTGCCCTGAGCACCTCTCACAGCCAAGCACGGCTGGCTACTAGCAAATCCGTCAGTCCCCTGGACAAGAGCTGGGCCGTGCAAATACCCTATAGCCCTAACCCCACTGTTTGGAGGGATTGTGCAGTGCTGGGCCTCTGAGGAGGTGTGCATTTGGATGCTAGAGCTGGCGTGCTTCTCACCTCCTTTACTGCAGTAGGAGCACCCAGCAGGGTGGTTTGCAGCAGCTTCTTTGTCATAAGCATTTATGATCATAACCATTTCAGAAGTCTAAAAATACTCATTAATACGATAGCCAACATCCTTACCCTCTTGGCCAAATGTTCCAATTTGACCTAAATTGGGGCACAGTGTCTTTCTTTGAGAACTCCTCCTGATGCATGGTGTTGTTTGGTTCACCCTTTAAACATCGTTACCAGACAGTGTTAGAATAGATCCAAGAAATCCAGCACTGTCTAGTAAGATGCCCACAGAGGACCATTGTCTGTCCAGCAGCTGGAGAAATGGAGCATCTATTTTAATGATTCCACATTCTTCAGGATGTCAGTGGTCCGTAAAAACTAATGAAAGTGGCTTGAGAAAGATTGCCTTACATCACCTGGCTTGTCAATAATTTACCAGGTAGGAGATGGGCAGAAGGAAGATGTTTGGTACTAAAAGATAATTTGAAGTTCGTGGTGGATTTCAGGAGACAAAGATGGTGCAGAAAGTTGATGTACTAAAAATCTAAAATAGAAACACAAGATTAGGTCCTGTTTCATTACAGTGTAAGAGCAGGCAGATTTCCTTCCTTTGGTTTCTCAGTTTCCTCATTCCCTTCTCCCTTTTGATTCACAGAAATACCAGCACTCCAAGTCATTCCAATCAGTTAAAATGACAAACTGAAATCTGGTGTACAAACAAATCAGCACTAAGAAGGGCACAAAAACGTGTCAGAGATGGGCCAGTGTTCAATGCAGTTCATTGATGATCCTTTATTGTACGGCGTGACTTGAAGGGATGCAGACAAATTTGAATCTTAAATCAAAGTGACAGGAGTCTTAGGTTTGCAATTGTTGGTGGTGTAATTAAGCACAATGAATGCTAATGATGAAGATGAAGGGTAGCTGCCTGCTTTGCTTCATGTTATTGCTTCCAGAAGTTTGCTGTAGCAGAAATCTGGCCCAGCTCTGAGCCATGAGGCGTTCCCTCACCTAAGAGCTCTGTGTCATGGTAGGGATGCTGGGTTTCTGGCTGTTGCTGACCCTCTCCCCATGCAGGAGGGGCAGCAGGGTTTGCTCCTTCCCTGTCCCCTTGGAGCTGGCTATACCTCTCAGGCACTGTGGTTCATTAGCAGGGAGTGCTTTGCTTTGAGCCGTGCTGCTCTGCTGCATGCATATTTATCATAGCCCTGAGCTACCTGCAAGCCTTTGTGGCCCTAGCACAGCGTTTCACACAGTAGCAGCATTTCACACAGTACATGCAAGCTCTGCATAGATCTGAGCTGTCACACAGCACATCTCACCCGGGCTGTGTGTCTGTGGATGGCTTTGCACTCTGATGGGCGTTCACAAACCAAGCAGCCTTCTGTGCTAGGAACTAAACACCACAGCACGCCAGGAGCTGTAAGGAGCCTGGGGATGTGTGTGGGGCTGCTGTGTTCTGGAGTGCTTCCTACCTGCCAGGGACGCTGACACACCTGCCCACAGCACCCCGTGTCCGACAAAAGCACCTATCAGCAGTGATGTCCTTCCTTGGCGATAGCTTTCATGCTGCGCCTCCAATATCTGATAACTGGGGGAGTAAAGCTTCCTGTATTGCCTTAATTCTCAGGAAGAAACAAAAAGCGTCTGTGAACCACTGAAGACAGCATTCTCACAGTAAGTTCTTTTAGTCTGAGCTAGTTCTTTCCAAATGACTTTAAGCAGTGTCATCGATTTATGGAAAGAAATAGCAGAGTAAGAGTCAGGTCCACCCTGCCTTAAAACAGGATGTTAAGTTAGTCCACCAAAATAATGAAAATAATTAGGGAGAATGGTACTTAAGAACAGCCCCACTTTTTCACCAGGAAGTTAGAAATTGGCATTAAAAAAATATATGATGTACAAATATATATAATGTATAAAAATAAAAAAACGTTACTTATAAGCTGAAGGCTTTAAAACAAACGGTTTTGCTATTGGAGCATTCGACTGGAGGAGAGAAGTCTAGAGGAGCTGATGTGAAAAGGACAGAGCAAATGATAATAGCAAGGCTGAAAAACTGAACTCCGCTATTGATTCCAGCTGCCTGTTCCTTAAATTGCCTTATATTTAGATTAGAAAAACGTTTTGGTTTGGAGGGAAAATTATAAACTAGAAAACTCAAATGGTAATTTTCATAAAGTGTTTGCTTTTGTTCTCTGGAAAGCTAACATGGCTTGGAAGTAAATAGAACACAATTGGAGAAGAGCACTTGCACTTCTCCGAATGCTACAGTACTCAGCATTTTCATGTGAATGTATTCTATCATTGCAACATCAAACACGTGCTATGCTCTGTATTCTGCATGATTTTCTGTTCCCAGGCTCACTCTGAGATTCATGATTCTACAGGAAGATGACTTTCTTATACTTGCTTTTACCCCTTCTTCTATAACCTGAAGCATTTCATCATAAATTTGTCAGATCTCCCCAACTGTGGGCAGTAAATCACACTTGGGTTTCTCTATTGGCCACTGACCTCTGCTTCCAAATTCGCTGTTGAACTTTTCCACGTTGTACACGAAACACCATAATCATCATTACCAGGCAGTATTAGAAAAACAGAGAACATCCAATGCTGCCCAGTAAGATGGTAATGGCATCTCAGGATCATGGTCTGCAAGCAGCAGATATAGCACAAGCTAGAAAGCCTCACTGTTTGGAGAAGAAAGAGGAGAAAGGGAAAACAAGCAAACAACAACAAAAAAAGAGTACAACCTACAGCTGTCCTTCGTTTGGGATCTTCTCAATTATCAAATGCTGTCACTTACCAAGAAGAGTCCTCACTTCTATTTGCACCTAATGGCACGCGCCCATCAGCTGCCAACTGTCACAAGGTGGCATTTGAGGGTTGGGCCGTTAGAGCCCTCGCTGCTACAGCAAATTAAAAACGTGGGGAAAAGCAAAATCCAGGAAGCAACGCAACCTTACAACCTTAGGCATAAGTAACTCTTACCTTTTTTCCAGTACCTCCAACTGTGCAAGCTTTATCTACGTTTTTATTACGCAAGTAACGTTTGCTGATTCTTTCAGTCATCTTTTAATCAGTTTTAATTTGTTTCTCTTAGGAAATCCAAAGACCTTACAGAGCACAGTTATTACAAGGAAACCATATTGCTTTAAACACTGAGAGAGCTTCCGTCCTCTCCCTGCTCACGAGGTCTTTCCAGGTGTAGAGTTTTACAGTATTGCGATAATACAACGCAGGCGAGTGTTAAAAAGCACACCGAGTTCTCAAGAAAGATCTCTGCAGCAGCCAAATGCATCACCACTGTCGTGCTTCTTCAGCACAAAGAGGCTCAGCGTTGGAATGCCTTTGCAAAGCCAAGACAAACCACTTTCCATTGCGTTTTGAAACCTGCCAGGGATCTCAAAGCCTCGGGAAGGTGAGAGCCATTCCCAACCTCGCAGCAGCACCGCAACCACCGGACATCAGAACTGAAAGGTGGTGAAAATGAAGAGAAAAACAGCTGGACCAAAACATGATGAAATGATCGAGGAAGCCACTGTGGCAACTGGAATCCCACCAGTTTAAGATGTGTCCATCTGTCACGTCTTTCTGTATATCAGCTGACATTACAGGTGGGTCACTGCACTGTAGCTCCTTTAACATCTCCTCAGGGTGTTTTTAAGAGAAAGTCAAGTCGAAGCCTGATGCAAACAAGTTGCATTACAAGAGCTTTAACCTGAGACTGCCCTGCACAACTTCTCGAGTCTTGTCCTGTAGGTCGTGCCCCTGTATTGGCATTTGAATATGATTACATCTGTGGTTCCCTCTTCCATTTTGACTTTCTAGGAATTGCTAAAAAATTGCTGCTGAAGAATTTGGGGGAATGGAGGAAGGTTGGGATCGCTTTTTCATTTTGTGCCTATTTTTTTCTGTTATTTCTAACAAGGCAGCACTATTAGGTGTCAGGAAAGGTAAAGCTTCCCTGAGGCAGCCAGCAAACAGATGTGCTCTTCTTAACCATTACAAAAGAAAGTGTCTTTTCTGCTTCAATAACACGGTATGGAGAAAGTCAACAAGAGGAACTGAACAATAGCTCTTTGTCTGAAGCAGCCTAGATGTCATAGTTAGAATGGAGGATTTCCAGACAACAAAACCTTAGGCTGTGTTAACAGATCTGGTTGCTGTGCATCAAAACTGTGCTTGTTTGATATTAGAGCAAAAATTTTCTTGAATGACCACAGTTTAGGGAACTGACGCTTGGTTGTAATTAGGGGGGAAAAAAACTCAATGACATTGATTTCATAAACTGCTCAGAGAAGAAAAGGGATCGATCGTCAGACTCAAAGCTCGTGAGCACAAATATGCACTGTTATGTGATGTGTCTTATCATTTCAGAGGGAAGGATGGAATCACATATTGCAATTTACACACAATGGTGAGATCCTTGCAGATTGTCTGCGCTCAGCTGGAAAAGGCCCCAATCCACCCCTCTCACTCTGCATCAGCCTCGGTGGCCTTTATCAGCCCTGCTTTGTATTTCTGATGCCATCTGGAGATGCCATTAGGACAACTCAAGTCAGTCAGCATTTCATTTATGGGAATCAACCCAGCAGGAAAGGACATTGGTGCAATCCTGTCATTTTCTGAAGGTTCCAGGGATGTTTTAACCTGATCCAGAAGATTTTCATCTGTGGCCCAGCCATGAGGTAACATATTGTGATTCCAACAGCAAAACTGCACAAGAGATATACCAGAAATTCTGAGCTAACAACTCAGTGCTCCTGGGCTCAGTGGATCTCTCCCAAGCCTGTTTCTTACAGCTGAAACCTTCCAACAATCTTGGAGACGTTACGCTGAGTGAGACACGTGTTCAAGCCAGAAGATGTGCACATAAATGCCATGAATGAGTTCCTCAAAAAGTATGAAGTCCAAATCTCACCAAGAGATTCAACAGGACACCTCTTTGAGTAGCCAGATGTACAAACTGGTGTCGATGGAACCTGGGGAGTGGCATTATGTCAGCTCCCACATCCCTCCTGCTTGCCAGAGATGGAGCACATCCAGAATGAAGAGGGATGGTTCTCTCCACAACAGTGTAAACAAAGAGGAAAGTCAGAGGGGACAGGAAATGAGGAATTTTTTCAAGGCCACTTCTTTTAAAGCCTTTTTCACCCTCCTGACTTGGACACGTTTCCCAATAAGGAAAAAAAAAACTCCTTGAGGCCAAACTAGCTCTAAGCTTATCTCCAGCTCTCACTAGAACTGCCCTTTCACTAATGCAGCTCAGAAGGTCAAAGTTTCTTCCGTAAAGCAAGGTGAGTGCATTGGATGTGTTCAAGGCCACAGGAGCAAGGTGTGTGAGGCGGGCAATGGCACAGCAGAGATAGCAGTGAGGTGTTCGGGCACTTCTCCAAGGACCTGGGGAGAGCTCTGGCTTTCCCCCTTCATTCAAAGCTCCCTCATTTCTTACCCTCCTTTTTGCAATTGCAAACAAAAGGTTAAGGAGCCTGTGAGGGCAGTGCTGCTGTGATTTACCTATCCTTAAAGAAACACAACTGGATCAACCAATTCCCTTTGCACAAGGTAAAAGACACGATACCAGTCTGGATTGCCGTGGAGGCCCCAGTTCACTATTTGATTTCCTACTTCTCCGTTTAAGAATGGGAAAATATTTTTAATTAAAATCCTTTTCTTGACATGCCAGCTCTTCTACTATTTATTCATTCCACATCAGGAATGTCGGCCCCGAGCAGGATTCGACTCCCAGTACTACTAAGGGGCAATATTATGCAGCCAGAACTTGGAGCAGACGTGTGAAGCCATGCAGCCCTTCCTGCACGCCTCTTTCATATCTATTGTCTATTCTCAGAAGTCCTGTGATGCCTTAGGCTGGGATCCTGAAAGCCCTTGCATTACGTATGTTCTTTGTAATGTCCTCCAGCTCAGTTTCTACTAAAAACACAGACTGTGTTGGGGCTCAGTGTATCAACAGAATGCGTTGTTGGCACACTCTGTCAACGTGGCACTTCCAATGGAGCAGCAGGCACCGCAGTCACCACGCATCACCCCGTGCTACGCTGACATCCTCAGCAGTCACTTCCACCACAGCCAAACACCTGCAGATTGAGCCAACCAGCACAACACACCTGGGCTTAAACAGACAAAAACCCAGCCGACGAAATTCTGCTGCCCTGCGTAGCGTTCACAAACAAGCTGGGCAATGCCAGGATGACTACTAGAAAGGCACAGTTTTCTTAGCTGCATAATGTGGTTCTAATACACAATCCTCATGCCTTCATCTGGTGTTAATCATTGATCAACCCAACAACGGTTGGTGAATTTTCTTGTTAAAACTTTCTATTGTTTATGACCTACTCATAGGCACTGTGTGATGGAGGTGGGAGGTGCTGTGGGGAAAAAAAGAAAATCTAACGCTGTACAAGACAAAAAACGTGAAATAATCTCCGAGACCACCATTAAAATAACAGTAGTCTGCTTGGTTTGCCCAAGAGCTGCCACTAATGGGATGCAAAGCAATCCTTGTATTTCCTTCTACCCAATACTGCATACATTTCTTTTCCTCCTTAGAACCATTAGAGAAACTTTATGTAGAAAACAAGTTTCAAAAGTGAATTGTAGAGAACAAGTTCAAAGGAAATATACACTTTGTAAAAATGTGGGGATTTTGTGGCTGCAGTGGCAGTCAAAGGATCAGCATCAAACTCAAGGCAATGTATGTATATCCATAAGATATTCAAAACAGCTAAAGAGGTTACACAGTTCTTATCATCAAAAATCTGAGAGCCAAAAATTAACTTATCACCTTATCGTGGGTTTAACGCCTGGAGTAGCTGCTACTGCAGAAGTTTAATAGCAACAAATACGAGTTAGGAAAATGGTTTTATAGAAACAGGCTGAAATGATTCAGTGCAGTTTTGTGTGATATTTTGATAAACGCATTTGGATCTTCACTTCAGCATGTGCCAACCTGTCTGCAGGACAGAGAGAACATTCACAGTTCTTCTTCTTTACTACAGGAGCTGCCAGCAGTTGGCCCTGGTTGGAATGCACACCACAGCCATCTGCTCCAGCCAACACGGCGCTCGCAATGAGCAGCTATGGGGCCAGAGCCCCCAAAAGGCACGGCCCAAATTTCAGAAGAATCAGGGATTTCGTGACCAGCTCAAAATGCAAAATCCCACGCATTTTTTTCTGTCTAGTTCACGAAATAGAAGCAGTTTGTTAGGAACTGATAGCCTCCTTCTTCCGCACGGTACTAATAACTTTCAGCTCGTTTTTCTTGTCTGCTTTTAGCAAGAACTTACTTAGTACCTATAGAGCACATAAATTATTTACATTTACCAAATAATGGTGTGAGCCATCACAGCAGCTTGCTGCTTACATTACCACTGCCGGTGCAACAAGCAATTCCTGAGAGTTAGGAGAACTTCTTGTTCTGCAGAAGACGACGCCTGCCTTTAGTGCACTCGAGGCAACGTGGTGGCAGCACAAAATTAAATGCTTCGTCCCGAGAGAATAGCACTGACTCGTAACAGCAGAGGCAGGACCAGTCTGAGACGCACCATCAGAAATAAATCTATCTCCAAGGCGATTAATCTACCGCGTATCTGATCTATTGAGAAATAAATCCTCCCTCCTTCTCTCCTGGATGGTATTTTCCGGGTGGGCCTGAGCGCTTTGCTCGTAGGCAGGATCTTTCAGAAGCAACAGGTCGTGAAGAGAAGGAAGGAGCAAGGTGGGAGCGGAAGGGAAGCGCGGAGGAAGGCGGCTGGACCTTACCGTTGTGAAACAGGCGGGCGCAAGACGCAAAGCAACGCAGCGCAATCCGAAGAGGAACCCAAAACAAAAATCCAAACCAGCACCAAAAAACCCCAAACGCCCCATCGCGTTCTCCTGAGCCCTCGGTAGAGTGCTTCCTCCGGCTATGCGGTACCCATGAAATATAAAACCACCCTCATGGTCGCCCAGGTTACCGACTTCATTTAGTTAATCATCACCACTATTACCAATGTTCAGGCCTTGAGAAAAAAAGGAAAGAATGACTGAAGAGGAGTGGCAAACAAGAAACTTAAGAGAACCCCACCCCCTTTTTTTTTTTTAACACATCAGGAGCAATTAGGTTTGTACCTGCATTACCTCTATTTCTCCTCCCCTTTTCTGCTTCCTACCGCCTCCCCCACTTGCTTCTCAAAGTTCCCCCAGCCCTAAAACAATGGGGTATCCATTAATCGGGTATCAGATATGCCAGGGGGGGACACGGAGGTGCCCGGCTTTGCCCGAGCAGCTGCAGGTCCGGAAAGGAATGCAGCTCCAGTGGGGGGAAAAATTACTTGTTGGTTAACCTGCAGGGTGAGCCTTAATCAATAGGCACGGACGATGAAAAGAACAAAGCATGTGAAACTTAAGCCTTTATATCTCGAGCTCCATCAGATAAAAGCTGTACCTGGAGCTGGAAAGGACAGCCAGGCTTAGCTGGGAGCTTAAACGCATCAGCACGATCCAAGTTGTTTCAGGAGCTCACTTGGCTTATTGGTCGCCATTCCTTCCGCCGCCACCACAGATTAAAATACAAAAGTAAGCCTCTAATGCTGACTTATCAGACTCTGAACGACAGAGAGTTTTAAAAGAAAAACTAATGAATGCAAACTGCACGTCCCGATTGTAAAATGTGATTTCCTCAGGCCACTTTCCCCTGCCCGAAATATGGTAAGGACATTCTAATTAACTCGTTTTGCAAACAAAACGTCTAACGAATTAACATCTGATTGCGCTCATATTTTACGTCCACTTTGCTTTTTTTTTTTTTTGTATTTTCAATTTGAAATCCCATTACATGCTTTATTCTGTTAGAAATGTAGAAAATTATCACTTTCTACATTATTTTTTTTTTTCCCCCCAGATTAAGGACAGGAAGAAAACCCTGTTTCCTACGTGAGCAAACCTCCACACAAAAGGGAAAGCCTAGGAGAGTTCTTACAGTGTTACGGCTGTCTCATGGAAGCAACTTCAAAATGCTACCATCAGCTGGTATGTGGTCATATAAGTTTATTTTAATGTGCCCTTTCATTCACTTTGGGCCTGTTTAAATTAAAAGCATTCTTCTGGGGAGGATTTTTCTTTTCATACTGAAATGAAGCTTAGCTCCATTTTTATACACCAGCCTGCGTTGGTGAATCTGTGTCAGCAGGTCAGGCCAGCTGCGGGACCCAGAGCCCTCTGAGCTCTCATTCCATGCACAGAGCAGCATTGCAGTTGGTGTTAACAAGGGCAGGAGGAGCACTGAGCCCCTGATCTTTTGGAAATACTGTATGGCATCACTTTGTCTGGCAGATGGAGTTTGCTGCTGGCCAGCCCCAGCTCTCAGGTGCCAGATTTGTATGTTCTGACTGCTAGCATTCCTGAAATGTACTAATACAGCCATGATCGTAATGGCGAGTAATATGATTATTCTGAGAACTTACTATGCCTTCACCAGGCTCACTGCTTGTAGGGCAGGATGGGAGGAGGTGACAGAATTCATATATAGCTAATATTTTCCCAAATCCTGGCATTCCTTTGCTTTTCTTTTAGTTGCTTCAATTTAGTAGCTCATATGTCAAACGGTGCCTTTTAAGAGCTCAGATTCTCATTCAGTAATGAGTTCTAATAATTCAGTGATTAAATTAATTAATTTTGAGAGCCCTTAAGACGCCCACGAGTGAAGGTACTTGCAGAAGGCTTGCACGTACCACCTCCATCTCCGCGTGGGGGCTGAGCTCACAGCCACAGTGCCAGCTAAATTAAAAAAGGGATCAAAACCAATTAAAAGGACTGAGACTGGTACTGAATTTGAAAAGTAAATAGGAAATGGATAAAAGCTCATATCTGGCTTGGTATTTGTGCATAAATATGGCATGATTTTTTTCAGTCGTAATGCTGTTCCCTGAGACTCCAGCAAGCACAAACTAATCTTCTGTCAGAGCAGCCTAGAACGAAGCAAAGCCCTCTAACTTTTTCTTTGAAAGGAATATGATTTAGGTAATATTTGCAATTACAAGGAGAAGATATAGGCAAGAAGAAAAAATAAAAGTCAAGAATTAGCCTCAGTGAAACAGAGGGGTAAGTTACCAGGCAGCATTTCCTGCAATTTTGACAAAATTTTTCAGAAATTAAAGACCTTTTAGAAACCAATCCAATCTGGCAGCATTCAATCAGAGTGGGCTCAGCTCCCTGGCTCGGTCAAGCCCCATCCCCTGGCACTGGCTGGCCCAGCTCGGTGCCTCACAGAACCTTCTCGAAGGCCGTTCGACTGGAGGGGTGGAGGGACCGCGTGAGCAAACATTTTCTGCTGACTGCAAAGTGTCTGCAAAGCCAGCCCAGCGCCTCTTCCTGAACCGGGCGGCTGCATTGCACACGGAGCCTGCTTGCTTACAACACACCTCTCTCTCCTCATCCAAATCTACCACGTCAACAGCGTCGCCCGCCAGCTGCCAGCCCAACGACGAGTCAAAAAGGAGCTTTTTGGGTGCCTCCATCTTCCTGTCTGTGGGAGCAGCCCACGAGCAAGCTCGTGCCTCACCAGGCAGCCAAGAGCTTTGTTTTGTCTCC